GCAAAGCATAAACAACGGTTTCTGGGAAGCTGATGTTCTCTAGATATCTTGCTTTTCAAGGCAAAAAAGACTCGGCCGTATATTGTGAGGGAGTCACACTTCCAAGAAGGATGTATGAAAGAAGAAAGCCCAGACTGCAAGAGAACAATGACTGGAACTCAATTCACTAAAATGGGGGAAGGTGTAGCTTCCCCAGCAGAAGCTTTGCAATTTGAAGAACACTGGCACCCCTCTAATACATTTTCTACTTACCAAGGAAACTAGTTTAAAAGAAATCAGTCCCCTGGACCCAGAAACATAAGGCTGGAAAATCAGAAACTCAATAAAGAACAGTAAGAAATTAAGATGTTTAGTTGAAGTATAAGGTTTAAAACCTGACAGTAGTCTTTTCCTATTTCTTACCCACTGTGGAGGATACTGCCAAGCAAGTAAACACTGTTCCCTTTTATGCAGCAAATCATTAAGTTTCTCAGATGGGAAACCACATTTCACTATTTTCTCTTCCAACAGCAGAAAACCGACTCATAGTATCAGAAAGCATGGAGGTACAACATTTCTTTCCAAAAGGCAGTCCTGGCTTTACTTTGTATCTTATGGTACAGGTATTTCAGGGCAATTTTTAGGCACACAAAGTCTGACACGTACACCCCCCACCCTTCCATGCCCCACACCCCTCCTGCAACTTCAGGTATCATTTTCTCTCTGGTTTTTAACCTCTGCCCAGGCACATTAGCAAAGGGGTATGAAGACTTACTGAACACAATGGATTCTACTGCTAGGTGAAGATGTAATTATTTGCTTAATTGCACAATGAAGCTCACGGATGATACCGAAGAGAAACATTTCCTGCTGAAACATACCTGCTGAAAACAATGAGTACCAGCTGACAAAAGCATTTTCTCAAAAGAGCACATTCAGTGTTCTCATTAACAAGGGAATTTCTACGCCAAAATGTGCCATCCAAAGCAGAACTGTATCTAGCAACCCACTGAGAGGTCACGTGGGTGGTGGCAGATCTGCCGAGGCTTTGATCAAGCAGAGCACAATCGAGCAGTCACATTTCTACCGGAAGAAGAAAACAGTGTCCATGCTAAGACATTTTTCTTGCTCTGGGTAAGTTCTGCTGCTTGACATTGTCAGCTCTGTATCACACACTACGTAACAGTCCTTAACTCTTCTTCAGACTGTCTCTAACAAGCAGAAGCCATTTAATTACCCTGTACTCACAATAAGACTGACGCATACCCACAGGCTAATGACATCAAGCATCAATGGTAAGTGAAAGATACTTAGCACAGCACCTAGCTCAGGAAGACAAAGGTAAACACAAAATACCAAAACTGAGTCTTCAGAAATTCTGTTTGTGCTTCAAGGTAGGAAGAGTTACTACAAATGAACAGATTGCAGAAAACATTCTGGAAAGCCACTCTATGAAAGCAGAGCAATCTGAGACTATCACAACACATGCACAAGGAAAGGGCACGATGATCAGCATAAGGGGAGACTAATAAACCCTTGGCTTCCAAATCAAGTCCCTCACAATGATTCACACAAATGATTTGCTATGGAAATTTTTAGCTGGGAAAAAAAAAATAAATCAAGAAATGTGGTCATAGAGGTACTTGGTATATAGAGAATAATGGTTCTCTTTTGTTCAGTACACTAAAATCTAAGACAGCAATTCCTTGCAACTGAACCTTCCGCATAACCCGTAAAGATTTTTATCCCTTAGATGGAGAAAGAACTTTCCTCTGGAAACAGCAATAATTCCTGCTTCAGGACATGCTCTGCAGGTACTAGTGAGACATGTACGCAGTTTGCTAACAAAGTAAAAAGAACAAAATACTCGCTTTTTTTCTTTAAATGTGAAATTCAAAAGTCAAATCCACGTCAAGGGTCTTCTCCTGCCTTCTGGATAATTTAGGACAAGGATTTCTGGGAAGATGCGTCTGACACGGTCTGTCAAGACTTCAATTAAAAGCTACAAATAAAAGTAAAACTGAAGTAACCGGTTTCTTAAAATAGTAAATTCGTAGCAATCTGCCACCAGGACAATAGGAAACAAGAAAAAATAACTCAGTCCTCATCTTCGACTTTACAAACTTTTGAAGGGCTGCTCTTTCAGACAGAAACACTCGTGTAATATTACTTGCAGAAGTGCTTCTACACATCAACAGCAAAATACGGGGCTCTGTAAACAATCCGCTGTAATTTCAGAAATGTGACAGCAGAAGACATGGGCAAACACAAATGCCTGCACCTAGAGCTAAAGGTCTTCAGTAAGGAAAGAGGAGCCAGGTTCCTTCGATAACTACTTTCACTAAAGATTGAATGAATACTTGATGGTCTTAGACAACCATGTCTATACTGGTGCTCTCCCATTATAGATCTCAACAGGAACCCTACTCATCTCAAATTCCCACTGACTGTTGGCAGTTGTACTGGGGATCTCCCCTTAATAATGTTCAAAAGATTAGAATCCAGTATGGCTTGGTATGATGTAAATTTTCTCTGGAGCATTGCAATTTAACTCCCACAATGTGGTTCTGTCCCAGGTGTTACCTATTGCTCAAGTTTTAGGACACTGATAAACATGGCACACGGTCAGACCAGAAAACTTGTTCAAGGGCTGCAGTAGGATAAAGCAAGAGGACTCATTAGTCCCAGTAATGTTCCCTACTCCCTGCTTTTTTACCCCCCCCCCAAAAAGGAATCCTGAAATTAGCAAAATTCATACATCAGCTATTTATCAGTTCTCATACCCTGACGACTGGATTTCCTACAGCTGAGAGGAAAAGGGCTCCTGAAATCCTCAACATGCCTGCAGACTACATCGAGCCAGACTTTCCCCAGTCATCTGCTATAATGAAAACCTGTCTGAAGTAACAAGCAGCAGCATGACATGGAGTTCAACCACTAAACGGCAAAGCAACAGTCTCCCTGCCAACTTCTCCCACTACATGGGACTCGCCTCACTCTGATGCTCTCACAGGAATCAAAGTGAACAACAGAACCTGAAATAAAATTCAAGCAGCTTGAAAAAGAGCCAAAATCTTATCAATGCCCAACTTTCTTTCTCAATAGTTAACTGTTACAGTTACTACTGTACCTACAGTTACAGTATCTCCTCCACCATACACGCATATAAGAGTACATTTTCTTCATTACTCAGTTTTTCAATTATCTCCCTTCGCCTTCCAGAAAAAATTATCTCTTCACCTTCCAGTACGAGTAATGGGTATGTAGCATACTCCTCCCATGAGCCAGTCCGTTAGATTCAAAAGCACTCAGTATACATCATTTCAGTCACCTTCTCAAAGGGGATGGACATGATCGGTTTCAGTCCATTCTTAAGGAGGATGATGTATTGTGGGCACTTCTTAACAACACACAGCTGCAGAAGAATACCCAGAGCAAGACAAGGCATTTTAGGGAGCCACCCACCCCTGTGGAACTCCAGTGTCTAGCATTTTTCCAGCTTCTGTGCAATGGATGTCTCTAACCCTAGTCAGATCTCCCAGCAAAGACTCTCCTCAACTAGGGTTATACAGAGAGAATTCCAAAGCAACAGGCTATGTACAGACATATCAGCATTCCCTCCAACAGAGAGATGAAAAGGAGAAAATTCCTGAGGATGTGTATCCTCTACTCCATGTTCTGAATCCCAGCCTCCCCCTTGCCTCAGAATGAGCTCTACGAAGCAGTATCTGTTATGTACATGAATCTCAGCTCACTTCCTTTGGAGAGTTTCCCCTCAAAAGTGACAGGTAAATCCCAGGACAGAGACAGGTGCTGGGGAAGGGGAGGTTGCCTTAGGATGACTCAACAGAAGCAAGAGAGCCTGCAGCTTTCTTCTTGGGGCGGGCTTTGACACTTCTTACTGGAAGCTGAGGAGAAAGAGAAAGAGGCATCTTGGGTTAGTTTAACACCTAAACATCTAACATAAAGATACAAGAATGCAGAGTGAAAACAGAGGACAAAACAACTACAACATGATGACCCTACTAATAGACTCACGGAGTGGTTTGGGTTGGAAGGGACCTTAAAGCTCCT